CTCTCCTGCACCCTCCCCTGGCTGGTGCAGGCTCTCACACCTAGGGGCAGAAGCCCCAGTTCTCCACCTTCCAGCTCCAGGGCCACCCCTTTGGGAGCCACCATGCCCCCAGGCATCAGGAGGTGCCACTGTCGCAGGGCCAGGCTGGCACCTGGGGGCCTTTGCCTGACCCTGGCTAGTCACCCTGCAGACCCTGGATTTTCCCTGGCCCCAGTGTACCTTGTGGAGGCATTGCTTGGCCTGGTGGCCCCTGCATCCTGTGCCCATGCCCGTCCCGGGTCCTGCCTACCTGGAGTGGCCACCGGTGGGAGCCCAGGAGCAGCGGGTAGCGCCAGGAGTGCGTCTCCGCAGAGCCCCAGCCTCCCTCCCCACAATGCAATTGCGCCCAGCCCGACTCATCCCAGAGGGCCTGGCTGGGCAGCTCAGCCCCTCCCTGCCCGCCCCGTTGCCCAATGGCACAGGGCAGGGTGCTGCTGCCCTCTGCTGGCAGTGGTGGGCACAGTGCAGGGCTGGCCCTGGTCACCGGGTTGGAGCAGGTGAGAGTGGGCAGTGCCCTTCCATTGGTTGGACATGTGGGCACTCCAAGACCTTCCATGAAGTTCCTCCTGGGTGCCAGGCTGGGCCTTGGCTCTGGCACTGTTCAGAGACAAAACATTTTGTGAATGTTAATACATTTGACCCTCCCAGCGACCCCTAAGAGGGTGTACAGTTCTCCCCAGGTTGTATAAAGCCGCGTGCTTGGTGAGTGGCAGGGCTCAGTCAGCCACAGGGCCCTTGCACATGACCTTGAACCATGAGCCTCGGCAGGCACTGAGCAGGAGGGAGATGGGGCGCGGAGGTGGGACCTGCAGGTGGCGCACCTACATGGCGTGCAGGACACCGGCAGTGCTCCAGGGCTCTAGAGGCAGCTAGACTTGCCTCCCCACGGCTTTGCCAGCAGCTGTGCATGCAGGCAGGCAGCGCTGCGGTGCTGGGCGGACAGCGAGGGCCCGGTTGGGGCTGGCTGTAGGTGTGGGGAAAGGCAGCTGGCAACGGGCGTGCTGCGGGGGTGGGGGGTAGGGAGTGGATCCTGAAGACATGGTGTCCGCCCGACAGGGTGTAGGAGGTCAGCAGACAGGAAGGTGGGAAGACAGGGGCCCACGGGCAGGAGGGGCTGGTCAATGGGGCCGTCGGCATGTTGGGTGAGAGGCTTGGCCTAGGGGGACGGGAGCATTGGGACTCAGGAGGGAGACCAGTGCATGGGGAAGGGTGAGGGCCAGCAGACAGCATGGTGCTCATGGAGAAGAGATGGGTGCAGAGTAAGTGACCGCCGTGGGGTCGTTTGCTCCTAGAGCTTGCCATGGAGACGGGGTTCCCACCCAGGCTTGGGGAGGCAGCCTCGACTGCTCTGACGCGGTGTCCTGCGGGTGCCAGGTTCCCTGGGTGACGGAATGGAGGTCCTAGTCCGAGGGGGCACGGGCCATAGTTTGGCAGGCCCAAAGACATCTCTTTCCATGCCAGCACCCCACCCAGCACTCTTGCACGTCGCGTCTTCCCAGCGCTGGGCTGGTGGACTCATCCTCTCTGCCGCTACAGTGGGCATGAAATGCCATTCCCTGGGTCCTGCCAACATTGAAGCTGCCTGTGTTTCTTCTCGGACATGCCTGCGTGCGTCTTCTGCCAGCTTTCCTATGTTGGCGGTCTTTTCCTTAATGCCTACCAAGTGACGTAGGTGCTATGGTGTGGATAACGGCTTTTCCCCTAGGGTCACGTGTTGGGCCTTGCCTGTACTGGAAAGGTGTTCAGTGCAAACTCCCTCCCTCCATGTTGCCCCAGGTGGGGCTTTTGGGTGTGACAAAGCCTCTAGGGTGAGCCCCATGACCAAATAAGGAGGGCACGTGAGGCGGGCAGAGCTCCCTCTGCCAGGGGCGTGCCTGGGCCTTGCGTGAGGCCCCCGGAGCTCTGAGCCAGCACGCCCCTGCTCCTTTCAAAGTGTCCAGTCCTGAGTGTTCCTGTAGGCGGCCTGTCTGCACACTGGGTACCAGGCCTCCGGCTGTGGGGCCTTCCTCCGCCTGCCGCTTGTCTTTTCAGTTTGCTGCTCATGTCTTTGATCAACAGTCTTAATTTTCATACAGTAGTATCTATCAGTCTTTTATGGTTTGTACTTTTTGTTTTGTTTAAGAAATCATTTTGGGGCTGGGGCCAGCAGGTGGCATGGTGGTTGACGGTCCTGGATTTCCACATGACCAACCATCATGTGGTTCGAGTCCCGGACCTGGTGGCTTGCTTTCTCACTTTTTCTTTCTCTCTTCCTCATCAAATGTAAATAAATTAATAAAGAAAGTTAAATAAAATAATTTTAAAAAAGGAAAGAAAAGAAATATTCTTGGGGCCAGTGACTGGCGTGGAGATTGAGGCGGCTGGACCCCACATGGCCAAGACCTGGCAGCTTGAAGAACATGCTGGGCACGTGTGCATCCGCACCCAAAACCCCAAGAGAAAGCTGGAGGAAAAGGGGTTGCTGCATGGCCACCACCCCAGGGGGTAATGTCTAAGCCCTCATCTGTCTCTCCCATGAGCGCACGCGCCCCATAGGAAAACTAAAATAAAAAAAGAAGAAACCCTCTCTTACTCCAGGTCATAGTTTTCCTCTCGTGTCTTTCTTCTCTTTTAGCATGTTTCCTGTTGGTGCCTTGAATCCAGCTGGGAGTCTGTGCAGTGCAGGCTGCGTTGTGAGGTGGTCCCGGCGGCCGGGCCTGAGGTCTGAGGTCCTGTGGGTGCCGTCTGACTGGCTTATCTGGCGGCTCTGGTTTTGCTTATGTCTTTAAAGTCAGTCTTGACACTTGGGGGGCACTTTCCTCCCTTCCTCTATCTCTCCCTGCGTTTGTTGCTCCTCCTTCTCGTCATCTTTCATAATTGGCCTGTTCTAGGCTCTTTCTCTTTTTCTTTTTCTTTTTTTTTTAAAGAAAATCTGGGCTGGACCGTGCATGTGCACTCGGCCTCACCTGGAGCCAGAGCAGCTGCGTGCGTGCATGCGTGTGGAAGCGGCTGGCCGCGAACAAAGAGGTGCAGGCAGGCCTTGCCCATGGCCAGTCGGAAAACCCAAGGTGCAAAGCCAAGTCAGTCACCGTGAATCTCAAGAAGAAAACTGCTGAGAATGACGAGAAGGGCGACAGGGGACACAGCTCCCATGAGCACAGAGCTCGTGCACTCGCCCAAGCTTGCTCTGGAGCCGCTGCAGAGTGCCGGTGGCAGCAGCATCGTGAACGCGCGCCTACTCCTGTTGTCGAAGCCCTGAGACTAAGGGCTCGGTTGTAATGCAGTGAGGGTCTACCAAATTATCCCCAAAGTTAGATAAGTTAAATGTTTCATATGCAAGAAATTGTCTGAGGGCACATGAACGCACCAAAGCGAGACAGAGAAGAGGAGAAAGCACCCCCAATGGGCATGGCCACGCTGCAGTCCCTTCTCGTTCCCCATCCTCCTGGGCTCGCACACACACTCAAGCAGCGTGGTTTCAGGCTGCCAAGGCAGGACTTGATCCGCGGTCGGGCATGTGGAACCTGGCTTCCCTTACTAGGCGACGGGGCTGGTCTAGGCCCTTACTAGGTGACAGGACTGGTCTAAGCCCTTTAGCCTTCTTTGAACTTTAATAAACAGCCAGTCAGTTTCCATGAACAACTCTTTGGGGATTTATTTTTTTGGGGGGTCATTGTGTTGAATTTGGAATCACTTGGAAGAACATTGAGTTTCCCCATCTAAAAGCATAGTGAATCTCTCTATTCATTAAGATCCTTTCAAGGGCCGGCGGGTGGTATAGTGGTTAAGAGTGCTGGACTCTCACATGGCTGATGGAAGTTTGAATCCTGGACCTGGCAGCCTGCTTTCTCACTTTCCCTCCCTCTCTTTCTTTTTTTGCTTTTGGAGAGGTTTTTGCTATAGGGTGCATGCATTCGCCAGAGAGACAGAGAGAGACAGAGAGATAGGAGGCGAGAAATCACCCCCCAGGGGGGATGGTCACGCCACAATCCCTTCTCCTCCATTCTCCTCTTGGGATCTTGGGCACGTGTGCACACGCACCCGGCATTAGTTTTAAGCCACTGGGTCCGGGACTCGAACCACGGTCAACTACGTGGGAGTCCAGCGATATAGCCATTACGCTAACTGCTGGTCCCCCTCTCTTTCTCTCTCTCTCTTTCTCTCTCTCTCTCTCTCACTCTGTCCCTCTCTGAGGGAATTAAACTAAATAAATAAAGTTAAAATCGTTTTTAAAAAATCCTTTCAATACATTTTTCTAGAAAGGATTGCACATTATTTGTTGTATTTATTGATACAGGCTTGCTTTTTTAGAGACAGATTTTTGCTATAAGGCACATGTGCTCACTGGAGAGACAGAGAGAGGGAGAAAGAAATCACCCCCAGGGGGATGGCCACGCTGCAATCCCTTCTCCTCCACTCTCCTCTTGAGATTTTGGGCATGCACATATATATGCCTGGCATGAGTTTTAAGCCACTGGGTTTGGGACTCGAACCGTGGCTAACTATGTGGGAGTCCAGCGATGTAACCATTGCACCATTCCTGGTCCGCAGACTTGCTGTTTTATGCTATCATAAATACTACCTTCTTGCCAGAGAGAGAGAGACATGGAGAGAGAGAGGTAGGAAGTGCCCCCAGTGGGGCATGGTCACACCACAGACACTTCTGTATTTCGCCATCCTATCAGGGTTTGGGGCGGTACACACCTGTGCCCAGTATGTCCTTCTTCTCTTTCTTCTTCTTTTTTTTTTTTTTTAAATTTTTGTCATAGGATGTGTGTGTGCTCACCGAAGAGAGACAGAGAGAGAGGGAAAGTGAGTGATTTGCTGGCCCCCTGGTGTGTCTTTTGTCTCTGGACTCCAGGCCTGAGAATTGAACTTCTGTTGTCCCTGTGAAACCTGGCTCCTTTCACCACGAGGCCAGGGGGCCGAGTCCCACTATCTTCCTACTTCACTCTCTGACTGTGCGTTGCTGGCATATAGGCAACAGTGAGGCCCAGCCAGTGGCATGGGGTTGAGGCCGCTGGATCCCACATGGCCAACTGCACGCTTCAGGTCCCAGATCCAGCAGCTTGAGAAACACGCTGTGTGTGCAGCCCAAATCCAGAGTCCCAAGAGGAGAAGGGATTGCAGCATGGTCATCCCCCCTGAGGGGTGTTTTCTCATTTTTTCTCTCTCTATCTTGGGCAAGTCCAAGTACCCTACAGCGAAGCCAAAAAAAAAAGAAAAGAAGAAAAAAGGAAGAAATGAAAGAGTAGAGAAGAAACTATTAAGCCGATGAGCCGCTGTCTTAGGGCCTTCTTTGTGGACTCTCTTTGGCCATCTGATTACATCATCACATCATCTGCAAGGTGGATCATTTTCTTTCTTCTCTTCCAGTTCTTTTTTATTT